TTTTCTCAGTGTTTACTTCTAGACCAACCTGTTTACTGGCATCAATTAAAGTTTGTGTGTTTTTCTTTATGGTATCTACATTATCACCCAGTACATTCACATCATCGGCATAGGCCAACAGCTGATGTGTCCCATTTAATTTCAGTCCCACCTGGTTTCCTTGGACCTTCCTAATAGCATATTCTAAAGCAAAGTTGAAAAGGAGTGGCGATAAAGCATCTCCTTGTTTTAGACCATTATGGATAGGAAATTTATCAGACAAACGTTTATCTACATGGACTTTACTGTACGTTTTGTTTAAATACATTTTCTAACTAGTTTCATGGGTATCCCAAACTCTATCAAAATATTATACAGTTCTTCCCTCCTAACTGAATCATAGGCATTCTTGAAGTCTATGAATAGCTGATGTACTGTCTCATTGTACTCCCATTTTTTCTCCAATAGCTGACGAATGCAAAAGATCTGATCTGTTACGTCGAAACCCACACTGATGATCCCCAATAATTTCATCTATATATGGACTTAACCTATAGAGAAGAATATTGAATACAATTTTGTAAGAATTTGATAGCAGTGATATTCCTTGATAATTACTAGTCAGTTTTATTAGCCTTCTTGTGAACTGGTACAATAATAGACTCCTTCCACTGATCAAGCAATTTTTCCTTATGCCAAATAGAAGTAATTAGATTGTGGATCTTTGAATGTAATATTTCACCTCCTGCTTGAATAAGTTCTGCCGGAATTTGATCACTACCTGGCAATTTATACCGTTTCAATTTTGTAATAGCACTTTCAACCTCAAAAGGGCTAGGATCCGGTACTGCTTAACATCACTGACCCTATGTGCATTCAATAACAGAGTAGTTCACCTATTCAAAATGTTGTGGGAATCTACAAGCAGATCACCATTCTCATCCTTCACTAAATTACTGCTAGGCTGGTAACCCCTTTGAAGTCATTTATTCCTCTATACAGGTCTCCAGTGTTCTTGTTCTTACTTTTCATTGCAAGCTCATCAATTTTGTCTTTCAGATATTCCCTCGTTTTGTTCCTGAAATGCCTGCTGGTTTCACATCTTATATTGTTCAGATTATCCCCATTTAACTCACTTGGATCCTGTAACCATTGAAATTTGGCCTGCTTTCTTTAATCTAATAATTTTGAGCATCCTTCATCGAACCATGGCTTATGCTTCTTCGGTTCGTAATAACCTAGAATCTCTTTGGCAGACATTTTTATATTATCTCTAATAGTTTCCCAAGCTTTATTAACATCCACCTCAGTTTCCAAGTTTTCCAAAGCCAC